AAGACTTCTAGCCTGGGACGGTGTATCTGTCAGGCCAGCAGAAGCTTGGCATTGGGTCTCAAGAATAGATTAGAATAGAATAGAATAGATTTGCTGCACTGAACACTTAATATCTGAAGAATTGAGAGAGGACACCACCCATGAATAAAGTGCTGTCATTACAAGAACAGAGAAGAAAGGAAAAACCAAAATGAACGTCTGAAGAGAGTCTAAAACTTGCACCAGCACATAAAGAAGACAAGACAAAGGGAAGAAATGCTGAGGTAAGAGGGCTGGACAGATTTCAAAGGCAGAGCAAAGCATTATCATGAAATGTGCAAAGAGCCTCGAGTTAGAAAACCGAAACACGCTCAGCATTTCTCAAGCAAATAACTGAAGTACAAATTCAAGTGTCGTGTTGCAATACTGAGGGATTCTAGGGGCAAAATCTTAAATAATGCAGGAAGCATCGGAAGAAGATGGAAGGCCAACAACCACATGAAGAAATGCTCAACCTCACTAGCTATTGTTGTTGTTGTTATGTGCTGGTGAGTTGACTCTTAGCTACCCTATGCTCAACAGCTCTGAACTCTGCACTAGCCTGAACCAATTCAGTCTCTGACACACCTATCCCCATTACCCCAGTCACTGAATCAGTCCATCTCATCCAGGTCTTCCCCTCCTGCGCCGTCCCTCCACCCTCCCAAGCATGACGTCCCTCTCCAAGGACTGGTCCCTCCTTATAACATGCCCAAAGTATGTCAGACGGAGCTTCAAACTCCTTGCTTCCCAAGAATGGCCCGGTTTCACCGTCTCCAGGACAAATCTGTTTGTTCTCTTAGTAGTCCATGGCCTATTAAAGAGAGGCAAATCAAAATAATAATGAGATAATCATCTTATCCCAGCATCATTGGCAAAATTCAACAGGACAGCAAATAACAAACGCTGGTGAGGATGTGGAGAGATTGGAACTCTGATGCACCATGGAGTCGGAACTGACCTATAGCCGACTCTCCAGCTCAGGAAGAGATTGTCTATCCTTCCTCTCCTGCTCAGAGTAGCTGGTGATTTTGAACCAAGTGCTTTGGGGATGGCAGCACAGATTCTTACCACTAGGTCACCAGAGCTCAAATACTGGTTGTTGTTATTGTTGTTGTTGTTATGTGCCGTCGAGTCGCTTGCGACTCATAGTGACCCTATGTACAGCAGCCCTAAACTCTGCTCTGTCCTGTGCCAATCGCACTGACTCTGACATTCCCATTCCAATTATCCCAGTCACCGAATCAATCCACCTCATAGAGGGCCTTCCTCTCCTGTGCTGTCCCTCCACCCTCCCAAGCATGATGTCCCTCTCCAAGGACCGGTCTCTCCTCACAACATGTCCAAAGTATGTTAGAGGGAGCGTCAGAATCCTTGCCTCCAAGGAGCCACCCGGTTTAACCCTTTCTGGGATATATCTGTTTGTTTTCCTAGCAACGACTATGGAAGGCAGTGTGGTCTTTCCTCTGAAGACTGGAAATATAAATGCCATTTGACCCAGCTATCTCACTACCAGGAATAATCCCAAGGAAAACAGAGATAAGACACAAAAGAGATGTATGTGCACCATGTTTATTGCAGCAGTCTTCACAATAGAGATAGAAACAGCCCAAGTGCTCATCAACAAACAATGGATAAATTGTGATACATCCACACAATGGAATGTCACGAAACACTATACAACATGGATGAGTCCAGAGGGCATTATTATGAGTGAATTAACTCAGTCACAAAGAGCTAAGTGTTATATTAGACGCTGTTGTAAAAAGAGGGCAGGCTGGGGGAGGTGGCAGAGTAAATAGGAAAGGACCATTGTATTGGAATAACTGACAGTGAAGCTCATTCTGAAAAGAACAGAGGGTAAGACGTAAGACGTTGTGAGTAATGCAACAAGCACTCTGGAGTAGAACATTCATTAAGGAAAGAAGGAAAGCAGGATGGGGGCTACATCTGTATAAATGAGTGAATGAAAAACCAATGTCTGTGTAAACTTCCATTCAAGTCACAATAAAATAAATCATTTTAAGAAAAGCATAGATAAAATGCACTGAGTCACTGTACTGAAAAGAAGGACTCAACACTGAATCATTGCAGGAAGTAGCATGTGATCAAGAAGGAAGAAGTTCAAGTTGCACTGAGAGCATTGGCAAAAAATCCAGGTTCCAGGAACTGATGGAGTGAGGTGTTTCGACACACACATGCCGCCCTGGATATGCTCACTAACAGAGGCCAAGGAGTGTGGAAAATAGCTACTTGTCCAACTGACTGAAAAAGATCCTTATTTATTACCATTCCCCAAACAAGTGATTCAACATAGAGCAGATATTACTGGACAGTATCATCAATATCACATGCATGTAAAATCTTGCTGAAGATTATTTTAAAATAGCTGAAACAGTTCATTGACAGGGAACGAGCAGAAATTCAAGCTGGAATAGGCCATGATGTTAGTTAGAATTAGATAAATGAGGGAAAACTGGGTGGACAGAATGTTAGGATGGATTCCAGTGAGATGGGGGGTGGGCGGGCTCAGTTCTGACAGGTAAGCAAAGACTGCCCACCCCTAAATGTTATTGGTATTTTAGGTATAATTTGTGTTTCAGGTGAAGGAGTGATATCAGGTAACAGTGGATGGGGAATAAGAACCACCCACTAAGCTTTGAACTCTCCACGATGACATCTCATTGGCTCAGACACAGTGACTATAACAATGGGCTCAAGTATATTGGAGATGATGACGATGAAGAAGGAGAAGCCAGGGTTCAGATCTGTGGTTTATAAGGTCCCTATGAGGACAGGGAAGGGTCCAGAGCTGCTGTACATAGGGTCGCTTTGTATCGCGGGTGACTCAATCTATGACAGGTTTGGAAGCAGGAATGGCATCTACTTCCTAAACAACAAGCCTCTGGAAACTCGACGAACTTTGATAAATGTCGATAGTTGTAGAGGGGCTTCAGGCCTTTTGTTCATAGGGTCGCTATGAGTCGTGCTCGACTCAAAGGCAATCAACAACAACAACATGAGTCACAAGTGACTTGATGGCACATAAGTACCACCTTTGGGTTGGCAGAGCATTTCCTACTCACTAGATACCCCCAGCTCGCTTTCCTTAGTTGTTGATGTTATGTGCCACTGAGCCACCTATGACTCATACTGACTCATATGACTCAGTATAAGAGCCCTAAACCCTGCTCTATCCTGTGCCAACCTCACTGTCTCCAACATTACCCCATTACCTCAATCACTGAATCGATCCCCTTTTGCACTCTCCCTCCAATCTCCCAAGTCCCTTTCCAAGGACCAGTCCCTCCTTGCAACAAGATTAAGTAATATTCCATTGTCTTCACTTACCCATTCATCAATTGGTAGGAATTTAAGTTGTATTTAAATTGTTACCATTTTTTCCTAAGGCTGTGAACACTCACAATTTTTGTGTAGATACATGTTTTCACTTCCTGGGGTAGTTACCCAGGACTAACCCTGCTATGGCCTGTGACCTTTGCCCTCTCTGCCCCTTGATCGGGGATCTACTGCCACCCTCCTCGGTGAGCCCCACTATGTCATCTTTCAGGTCACTTAGAAGAAGCCTCGCCTCGCTGGGTTTTCTGTGCTTCCTGGTCACCCCATCTCCAGCCTTTGCCTGCTTATAACACAATTAATAGGATTGCCCAGGGAGCTCTGGTGGCCTAGTGGTAAGAAGCTGTGTGCTGCAGTCCCAAAGGCAAGTGGTTCAAATCCACCAGCTGCTCTGAGGGGGAAGATGGGCGCTTTCCTTGCAAAAATCTGCTGCAGGGTCAGCTTCAGGCAGTTCTGACCGACAGAACACAACATGCTTGCCTGAGCCCTGGTCTGGCTCCACAGAAGTGACCAACCTAAGGAGAGGGCCTGTCTGTTTGGGGTCACCACTGTCTTCCCCCGTGCTTGTCTCTCCTGCTATATAGCAAGGAGAAGAGACCGATTTGGGAGCCAGAGCCAGAGCAATCAAGAAAGGCTTCCTGGAGGAAGTGAGGCTGGATCTGGGTCCAAGACCCACAGATAGGTTGCTTTATCCTTAGGTAGGGCTGAAGGGTCTGTGGGAAAGAGAAAAGAGAAGAGCCGGGAGAAAGGACGGCTGAGTAGGGGTCTGACAGACATGGAGCAGCTTAGACTACGAACGCTGTTTCGCTATTTCGTAGCAGCCCCTCTTAAGACTGCGAACTGTCAGTGACTCAGACTCAGACGTTAAGAGAATGTTCGCAAGCTGCTGCAATGAGCATGCCATGTTAACTCTAACCTTCCCAGAATAAAGGAAAAAACATCCCACAGTGAAGCAGGTTAACTCTTAGTTGCCCAGTCTGGGTGCTGCAGTCAGTCAAGGGCTTTAAGCAGAGCTTTGGGCTCCTTGCCACCACTCTCACCACAACTGGGTTCCATGAGACCGGGCTGGTGGACGCTTTTCTTGAGGAATTCGCCATGCTGCACAGAAGTCCTCCCAGGAGCCAGCAGCCAGAGCGCCAACCAACAGAGAGATGCATTTAAGAAGCTTTGCCTCTTCACCGGGCCTCCAGGTCCCGTCTAATTGCCTCACGCTGAAGAGCTCTAAGCTACGTTCTGACTAATCTTTCGTTATCTTCTGGCAGAGAAATATGTGTCATCTCTTCTGCGTCTGGTGACAGGAAAATGACGAGCCCTTTTGCTATTGGAGTGGGGTGGGGGGAGATGTAAGAAAACTGTCGTCCAAATGCAGCCCATTTTGGCCCAGAACCTAACCTAGTGATGTACCTACCCCTCGAGGGCGCAGCTCTGCGCTCATCTGCCCTCGGGGTCCAGGGGGAACCCACAGGCGTGTGGCTGTGTCTGAACCCTCGATTCCCGCGTCCGAGGTCGTGAGTGCAAAACTCGGAGGCGCTGAGACTGCAAAAGGGACTAGTTCAAGATTGGGACAAGAACCCGCGCGCGGTTTACGGCTTGCAGCCTTGAACGTCCAGATCCTCGGGATCCAGGCCTCGAGCAGACCGCGCAGACCCCCGCGCCGCTGGGCGCTGGGCGCCCGGAGAAGCCTGGGCGCGCCGCCCGCGGGCGCCAGGCGCGGAGAGCGAGCGGGACAGCGCCCCGCTCCGCCGCGTGCAGAGTGCTCGCCCCTCCAGGAAGCGCGAGCCTCGCCTCCCCAGCCCGCCCCTCCTCGGCCGGAGGGAGGAGCCCGCGCTGTCGCCGTAGCCCGCCCGCCCGGGAGAAGGACCGGACCCTGAGCGCCGGGGAGCGCACGCGAAGGCCATGGCCTCACGGGCAGCGCCCTGAGCCCGCCTCGCGCGTCCCGGGGCCTGGCCGAGCGGAGGAAGTACCTGGGATGTCGGCGCGAGCCGGGGCGCGGGGAGCGGCGACCGCCTAGTGCGGTAAGTGGGGCCGCGGTGGGCGACGGGCGGGCGAGGAGTGGCGCAAGTGCTCAAGTTTGACCCTGGGGCTTGCCTTCAGGCCCCGCTGGAGGGGTCCGAGGGGAGCTGGGTGCCCCCTCCAAGGGGCCGTGACGCCGCCCACCTCCCCAAAATACTGCTCCCCGCGCACGGCCGGACCCGGGCTCTTTGGGGACTCAGCGTGGCCCCGGCCACGAGGGGGCGCTGTGGCGTCGCCGGGCTGCTGCTGGGGAAGCGGCTCCCGCCTGGGCCGAGGCCCGCGGTGCTAGGGACTCGCCTGCGGGCCCCGCCAGCCTGGACGACGGCTGGAGGTCGCAGCCCCCACCGCTAACGCCGCCGCTGAGGGCGTGAAGTCGGGCTGCTCCTTGCCTGGCACCCTCGATCCCGCAAACTGCCCGAGGGCGGCCCCCCGAAAGGGAAGGCGGAGAAGCGGGGTGGGAGCTGGGAAGCTTCCCAGAAGTCGGTGTGTGTTTGCAAACTAGTTTTTTTTTTGCGCAAAAGCTGTCTGGCACCTGTGTGTTTAAAAGGCATGGAAAGAGAAAGAACAAGGTCCCTTTTTCCTGTTCTCGCGGCGCCGCCGGTCTGAAATAGACTAGCACTCCCTCCTCCCTTCTCTTCCCGCTCATCCTCTGGCCTCAGGCTCCTGCCGATAGACCGTGCACACACACACACCTTTGGTGGTGGGGCCACCTCAGAAGAGGGCCTTGATTTGTCCTAGGTCAAGTTACAGGTGGACTTTTCAATGAGCCCCTCCCGTAGGCTGCTGGGGCTGCTGCTGCTTGCTGTCTTTCCTCCCTGGGTCCCTTGCGGACTGGGGGAAGCCTGCCCTCTGTTTCGTCTGTCTTCAGTTGTGGCTGTCACTCAGAATGGAAGCTAATTCTGCCTTTTGAGGCATCCACAACTTCCGTCCGTGGGGCCCAAGAAGCCTTTTATTAACAGGAAAACAGGTAATTTCAGCTGGTAACATTCACAGCTGTCTGTGGAGGGTCTTGTTGGAGATCTTCCTTGCAGAGATCAGACCTCACCTCTGACACCTGGTTCTTTATCTGTTAAGAGGGCCAGTTGTTCAAGCCTTGCCTGCCTTAAAGGAGTGGTTTCAGTGCTGCCCCCTGACATGGGGCATGGTGAGTGCTGGGACGGTCCTATGTGGGTGATAAAGCTGGCTGGGTGGGAGGGGTCACCCAGGCAAGTTTTTCCCATGGAAAGAACCAGCAGCTAAAGCTGGGAATACTTGGGGATGCTTGAGTCTCCACACGTTCCACTTCCTGCCATGCTTTGTCACCCGTGGATTTGGGGTTTTTCCATTTTTGAAACGAGGCAAACTGTGGTATGATCCAGTTTGCAAGGCTCCTTAGAAGTTCAAACCAACAGATGGAGGTAGGAGTTTGCAAAGTGGGGTGTCTCTCCAGGTGTATTTCAGGGGACCCTGCCTGAGCCATTAGAATGAGCAGCAGTGGCATAAGTGAAAAGGCTCAGGGATAGAGGCTGAGCTTCTAGATCTGTGTTGGAGACACAGTCCTCTGTGTACTATTGTAACCAGTTAGGGTTCCTATGTATTTCTATAAAGGTAGATAGATGTGAGAAAGGGCTGTGCGCCAGCACCATGCCTGGCACGTGGTAAGCACTCAGTAAAAGTTACCATGGTTATTTAAAGGGATATTAGTAATCCTGACGTGTGGGGTATCAGCTTTCAGAGTTCCCTCTGGAATTTTCTCAAACCAACCCGTCCCTCCTCCCTCCGTGCCTGCCTCCTTCTGGGAGAGATGAACCTCTGACTTCTGGGCTGTTAGTGATTTCTGGTAGGTTAGAGGACGCAGAGGTCTGAGTGGGAAGGTTTACCAAACCCAGGTGTGAGGAACACCGGGAGCAGCAGTGGGGTCTGGATGCTCGGCTCCCTCCACCTTGGGCAGAAATCCCAAGAGCAACGTCTGATATTTTCTCTGCTCCTATTAGATAGAGCCAGGGACATCCTCTCCGTACAGGGTCCCATAGTAAGAAGACTGATGGCATCCCCCTCCCCTTCACCCCTCCTCTCTCTCTTACCCACAGCTGATTGCTGAGTCAGAATCAAAACATGTCAGGAATCTAGCCCCTCCTTGGAAAATGTGGCCTCAGAGAGGGGGCAGGACTCCCTCCCTTCTGCCCCACCCCATGCACAGTGTGGACTCTGAGATCTTGGGGACGGTCATGTCCCACGCCCTCTCTGTCCAGAAGGGGGAATACGGAGGTCCTATGGAAAGGGTGCCTTTCTGAGGTCCTCTACCACATGACAACTGAGCAGAGTATGTCCTTGGCTTCCAGTTCCGAGTCCTCCCCTATCCGGCCACCAATCTGGGCTCCTGTGGTGTGTGACCAGAGAGACTGCTGTCCCCTGTCCAAGTCCTGCAGGGTTTCCTAGTTGCCTGTCCACACTTTTTTCTTCTGGGGCTGAGATGAGGCTGTTGTTGTTAGAGGCTGTCAAGTCAATTTCAACACCATGTGATACCAGGTGACAATAGCCCCATTGGCTACACTCTTAGTTATAACAGATTGCCAGATCATTCCCTGCAGAGATGATGAGAGTTTGAACCTTTCGTTTAGAAGTCCCGTGCTTATCTGTTGTACCCAGGGCTCCTGAGATGGGGACTCACGCTGTTGTTGTTGTTGTTGTTATGTACTGTCAAGTCAGAAGCAACTCCTCGCTGAGCCTCCAAAGCCTTTTCAGGGACAGTAAATTGCACGAGAGGAGAATGTCCATCTTTCTTCCAAGGAGCAGCTGGTGGACTTGAACCACATGATTTGGGCTGGCAGTGCAATTTTTCAGGGCACTTGCTACTCTTTTTTAATTTTATTTTATTATTTGTGTGTGTGTGTGTACCGTCAAATCAGATCTGACCAGTACAGGAAGAGATTTGCCCCTCCTTCTCTTCTCCTCATCTGGTGGATTCGAACCTCATACCTCTGGGATTGCAGTGCAGCTTCTTGCCACTATGCCACCAGAGCTCCCTCACTTGCTACTCTTGAAAGTCTTATTATTTATTGATTTGTATCTACTCTTACTGTTTCCTGCTGCCCTCCCTCCGAGAGTGTTAACTTGAGAATAAGTTGCTCCTAAGTCTTTGTGAGACAGATGACGGAATCTGCCCTCTTAGTCACTTGCAAAGTGGGTCATATTGGGTGATGGAGCTGGGAGATTTATGCGTTTGCCCTTCCAGAATTTCGGTCTCAACTTGCATAGTTGGGAGACCGTGTGGGCTTGCTGCGTGACAAGGGGCAAGTATGGGCCTGGGGTCCAGGGAAAGGTGTGGATCTGAGAAGGAGGGACACCACCTGGCACCAAAGGTGGGGGGTGGGAGAGGCAGAGGCGATGGCAACTAGTATCTGAGATGGGGCATCCCCTGCCCACCCATTGGTGTGGGGTGCTAGAGAGAATTACCCTTTCACTTGTTGTCTAAGTCTGAACCTGTCTGACCTCATCCAGAAAATAAGAGTCCTCAGAGCAGAACTTCTGCCTGCTGCTTGCTTCATGGGCTCCTTAAGGCCATAGTGAAAGGGCTTCTAGACTGAAGAGGGCTGGGCACACATATAATTCTTACCACTGCCACCTTGGGTCCTATCTCTCTCTCTCATCACGCAGCCTGTCCATTGACCAAATGCCCATTGTGGAGCTTCTCTGTGCTGGGCACTCTGCTGTCCATTGTGGAGACCCGGCTGGTCCTGTGCTCTAAGGGTCTGAGAGCGTCCAAAGGCAGAGAGACTAGCAGCTGATGAAGGGACAGAGGATGTCAGAGAGTGGAAACACCCTGGAGGATAATAAAGTGGAAGGAAGCAGTCCTGATGATGGGGACTTGTGGAGAGGACTCAGCGAGGTCTCTTAAGGAGGAGACAGCCCTGGACTGAAATCTCACGGGAGATTGGTCTCTTGTTCAGGGCTGTTTGTATCCTCAGCGGTGCCTGGTGCCCAGCAGATGCTCGGGAAATATTTAGAGGAGGAATGAGAGAAGACTCAGCACATACTCGGAAGTGGAGATGGGCTTGGTGTTCTAGGAGCCCCTCCTCCCAGCGGCTCAGCTCAGCCTCCCTCAGAGGCTCCTGTGTCTCTTCAGAAGCCAGCCACTGGCCTCCCCCCAGGAGCTTGGTTCAGCTCCCCACAGCCGCTTCCTCCAGCATGGTAACCACAGTTACCCTCCCACCCTCTCCTGAAGGTCCCACCCCTAGCAGAGCTGCCTGGGGTCTGGTTTGTCATTATCTAACTGATGGGACTGTGGCCTCCAGAAGTTATGTTTGCAGCCCCAACCCCTGTGAAAATGACCCCGCTCGTATAGTAGTTAAGCACTCAGCTGTTAATCCAGAAGTCAGCAGTTCAAAGCCCCAGGCCCCTCTGCAGGAAAATGATGTGGCCGTTTGCTTCCATAAAGCCTTGGAGGCCCTCTGTGGCAACTCTCCTCTGCCCTGCGAGGCAGAATTTCTTTGACAGCAGTGAGTTTGAGTGTGGGGTTGTTTGGTTATCAGACCGTGCTGCAATAGGGTGAGTCCTCTGTCCCTAATGTCTGAGAGTGAAGCTTCATAAGGAAGAACAGACTAGAGGGAGACACGCACAGGGAGATGAGACGTGGGAGAAATCGTGTACAGATCTGGAGTATCAAGCAGTGCCTATGGCGACAACAAGAGTGAGCCCTTCCCACAGCCAGACCTCTGTCCTCCAAAGCTATGAGACAAAAAAAAAAAAGGGCTCAATTCCTTATATCAAACTAGCTAAAGTTTCTGCTGTGTTGCTTCTAGGGTAATAACAATGATAGAGTCCACACCATGTAATGTCATTTAAAGTTTCACTTAAAAGATATGAACTATACCGAATGAATTTCTGAAGATATATGCTTGCCTTATCCTTTGGAGAAAAGAGTAATATACCTTTTAAATGCCAATTTAAAGATGTCTTAATCTTCCTCTTGAAAACATTTTATGTATAGTGTAAACAGTCTTGGTAACAGCAGGGTTTGGCTTAACCTTGTTCTTTTTATTGGATATCTTCAAGGGGTTATATTACATATGATTCATTTTGTAACTAAAAGTATTGAGGCTATTTGGAGACATTATTTCAGAAAAGGGTCTCTTTTTTTTCATCATATATCTATCCTTCAATAGAAACAATTTTTTTACAAGTTCAGGAAATATTTTTGTCGTGTATATACATTTGAAAGATTCTTTTCTAGAGCCAATAAAAACCTTCTGTTGGAGACCTGAAAAAAAACAAACCAAAAACAAAGCTATGACACAGTAAACTCCTGTCCTTTAAGCCACCTGCTTTATATCCGAGATGAGGAGGATGGCACAGAAGGGACAGGGCTCATA